TCTTGGTCATTTTTATTAATCATTGATTTCCTCACTGCCTATCTCCTAAAACGACAATGACTGTTTATCAGAGAAATGCTGTGTGCTGGATGCTAAGAATCGAACAGCTCAAGCCTAGAAGGATCTTAATGAGGCACCCCAGAAAAAGCTTTATTATTGGAGCTATGTCTAGGAATATTATAAGAATAGAGAAAGGGAGTCGTTGTCATACACTGCTTCTCAGAGTTAACATGAGTTGTCTTGAAAGATAAGCAAGAATCAGCCAGGCAAAGAGAGAAGGGAAAGAAATTTTATATGAGGGAACAGCCCAGGCGAGTCATAGATACATGAAGAATCATTGCACATCCCAGCCTTTGTAGAGTGTTTTCAGTATGTGTAACATCATAGTTTTTATTGCAGGGGGTAGAGGAGGAAACCAGGAAAGTGGTTAGAATTCATAAAAACTCAGAAACTATTTAAAGAGATAGAAGAGAGTTACTGCTTCTTATGACTCAAAACAAAAGGCTTGATTCTTAGTAGGTTAATTTTGTTGAGTGAATGAAACCAAATAAAGGCAGCATTCTTGTCACTTTCCCATACATTGTGCTGACACTGAAAGATGTCCCAGGAATTCTTCACTGTCATCGGAACATCACTGGCCATGGCTTCCATTGTTCATAGGTTCAGCTCCAGTCAGCTAAGATTAATCCAGAAAGGCTAAAATTATCCTAGAGAAGACAACAGCTTAGATACCAATTTTGAAAGGACTCCAAGCAATATTATACAGGTAAAAATTAAATTCCCACCTCACCACCTGAAGTTGTAAAATTATTTATCTATATATATAAAGAGCCAGATCTATATATCTATCTATATAAAATTATTTATCTATCTATGTAAAGAGCCAGGGTCATAACATCCAAAAAGACCAAAGGTGTGACCGAATGCCAGGCTGTGCACACAGCAGGCAAGTGGGCTGAACTGCTGACCTCTCAGAGAGAGAGGAGAGAGAGAGGGAGGGGAGGGGGAGGGGGAGGGAGAGGGAGAGGGAGAGGAGGCTGAAACCCAGAGAGAGAAGCAGGGTGATCAGACCCTACTTCTCTCTCCCGGCCTCACCAGCAGCCAAGCCTCTCTCTCTCTCTCTCTCTCTCTCTCTCTCTCTCTCTCTATATATATATATATATATATATATATATATATATATATATATATATGTATGTATGTATGTATGTATCAGAGGTCAGCAGTTCAGCCCACTCACCAACAACCTAGGGTGGCTGGTGATTAGCCCTGCCTCTATGATCAGGCCCAGAGATAGGCCTGGAGATGCTGACTGGCATAGAAACTGACTAATCAGAACCTACTCTGGGTGAATTGCTGCAAAGGCAAAACCTAAAGTGGGGGCTGAAGAGGGGTTTTAAGGACAACAGTTGTTTGGTGTAAGGTGTAAGGTAGTGACTCAATTTTTTAATGACCGGTGTGGTAGTATAGTGCATATGGCTGGCTATCAAGCTAAATATAGGGATTACCGGTATTTGTTTTTGTCTACCAAGAGCATCTTCTCCTGCTGAAAAAGGTTCCCCTCGCCTCCATTTAAGCAAAACTATCCTATGTAATCTATACTACTAAAAGGGTAGCATGCTAATTAGACCAGGTCAACTGGCCGTCTTCAGACATCCAACTTCCTTCCAGACAAAGCCATGGTGGTGGGGGCTGAAGAGGCAGTTAGGGGCAATCAGGCCAGCAGGGGAGGGCAGTTGGGGGTAATATAAGGTCGGTAGGGGAGGGCATTTGGGAGTGAGATCAGGCCTGCAGGGGAGGGCAATTGGGGTTGAGATCAGGCCTGCAGGGAAAGGCAGTTGGAGGCAAGATCAGGCCTGCAGAGGAGGGCAGTTGGGGGCAATCAGGCCTGCAGAGGAGGGCAGTTGGGGGCAATCAGGCCAAGACGGAAGAGCAGTTAGGGGCGAGATCAGGCCAGCAGGGGAGGGCAGTTAGGGGCTATCAGGCTGGTTGGCAGGTGAGTGGTTAGGAGCCAGTCATCCCAGATTGTGAGAGGGATATCCCCCAAGGAGTCCCAGAATAAAGGACTTACATTTAAATAGTACTTTGTATTTTACAACATATATTCATATATTCACAGCTACTTTCGGAAGAAGTTATTAATGCTCTCCCCATTTTTTATACACTGAGACTCAGAGAAGTTAGGTTATTTGTTTATAATAATGGCCAGCAAGGGACACATCCTTAAACCAGACATTCCATTCCGGATCCTTTACTCATTCATCCATGTTCAGAAATTTATTTACCAAACAATCAATTATTGAATGTATCATGCACCATGGTAGCTACTGGGAATGCTGACATAAACAAGACCCAGTGCTGACCTTGTAAGAGTTTATAGAGTAATGAAGGAATCAAGTAAGAAAATAAAATATTTTAATATGGCGCAGTAAATGCTGTAATAGAATTAAGCACTTGATACATTTTGATTTTTTATATACAATTACTAGGATATAAGGTAAAATAAATACTTATATCAGTATTTTAGCAGCTCTTTGAGTGTGTATTTCATGTTTTTCTATTTGGGAATGTGGACTTGAATTATTTAAAATCTCATGGCAATGTAATAAATGTGTTTATAATTTATTATTGATAAACATTAAAATGTATACATTGTTTGAAACCTATAAGATGTCTTACACAGCTTTAGAGATCCAGCTTTCTAGATATTATTTTCTGAGCTCAAAAGGGTTACATTGATTTTAAGATAATTTAGGTCTTAGTTTTGTCTTTGCAGTGGGACTAGGTTTGATAATATTGCATGATTAGACGAACATGTATGGGAAGATAGTATTAAGTCTCAAAGAATGCCAAAACGTTAGAATTACTCACCTTAGTCAGACCCTTACATTGAAATGTAGGCTGTGATAGTCAGAAATAATTATACCACCACACTGAGAGCAAGTAAGAGTAGAAATACCACAGACCTTTGGATTAAAAGATGAATTAGTCTTGCTTTTGTGGTCTTCTCTTGAGTAAGTAACTGATTTCTTCTTTTTGAAATATGTGTTTGAACAAGTGAGAAAGTACACCTGTCAAAAGATTAACCAGCTGAGAACCATTGTCAGCATTAATTTTTCCTTTAATAAATGACTCTCTGAAGCTATTTAGCAGTCTGTAATCTGGACACAAAGCTAGTGACCTATGATGGATAGTGCTGGATTTGTTTGTAAGCTTTGACTTAAATTGTCTGCCTAATTTCTCTAAGTCAGATCAACAGGATTAGAAGGAAGGTTGGTTATGTGGTTTAAATAAAAATGGCTATAGAAATTGAGAAGAATAATTGTAAAACGTTAATGATCTACCATGTTGGTGAAATAAATTAAAAACTAAAAAAAAATGACAGTCACTTAAATGTCAATGTTATCTGAATGGTCAAATGACAGAGTTTTGCTAATTAAAAGCATTTTTATAATTGGGGTTTGTACATAATCAACTCCTCAATTAGGGTGTCTGAAAAAATATTGAAATAATGTAATTTAACTGTATGTATGAGCCTCTCAGGCCTTCACCACATGTGGCTACCCCCTCTTCCAAAATTGTTTGGCTAACATAATGCTGACCTCTTTTGCTTTTAATAATTAGTTAAAAATAGCATGACCTATAAAATAGAAAGGCTACTTGATTTGGCAATTGCAAAATATTCACAATTTGAATGAAATAGGGCTCTCCTCACTTGGGCTTTTTATGTGTAAAAACTGTGTATTTCATTGAATAAATTAAATTCAAAAGTAGGCCATTACTTGAAGCTGTCCATTCTAATGGCCAGATTTGATACATAGTGCAGACAATTAGGATTTCTTTATTCCTAGCTGTACTATAAAATAAGTTGTAAAGGCAAAAATTGTACTAATATAGCTCTTCTAATTCTTTCCTGGATTTGAACACCAAAACCTAACTGAAAACTTTGAATTAAAATTTCTCTAATACCAAAAACAGTAATAATATCCTTGGTTTTATTTTACAGTTAATAAAAATGTGAGTAAATAAAACTCTCTCCCCTGCCACCCCCTTTTCCCACCGTTTTAGGGTAGGTCTAGGGCACATTTTCTGTGCTAAAGTAGAAGTTGTTTCTTCACTCATTTTCAATTAATGACACTTGTAACAAGATGCTAAGGACTAGCCAAACCAGTGTTAGTTTATTTGTTCTTCCTGCTCATATCACTAGGAATGAATTGCCCAAGAGGTAAATAGCTGAAAGTAAAAGAAAAATCAAATAATATTGGAAAGTGCACACCATTGTAATCACTCTAAATAAGCAACTATTTTCTCACTGAAATGCCTGCTTTGTTTATGGGAGAAAGCCAGTCACTCTTCGTGGATCTCATCTGCAGATAATGTGTGGAGAGCAAGCGTGTGAGCCAGAGACCCCAATTCACACTCAGGCAGCAAACTTCCCTGGCTGCTCCCATGCTGGTTGGGACACAGATGACCTTTTTCAAACACTTTCTGTTACTGCTGAGTAGGTGACTTAGAGGCATAAGAGATGCACAGAATGACAAAATTCACATTTCAAATTCCTATGTCTATCTTGCCATGATTGTACCTAAATAGTTAAAATGAATTGAGGGTTTGACTAAATCTGTCTCTTTTGGCTTGTGATTAACCTACATGATATTTAATTATTAAAATATTCCAGGAGAAATTTAGAGTATCTTGCACATACCTGACAAATATAATTTTATTGATTTTTTACAGAGAGGAAGGGAGAAGGATAGAAAGTTAAAAACGTCGATGAGAGAGAAATATCGATCAGCTGCTTCCTGCACACCCCCTTCTGGGGATGTGCCCTCAACCGAAGTACATGCCTTTGACCAGAATCGACCTTTTAGTCCGCAGGCTGATGCTCTATCTACTGAGCCAGACCAGTTTTGGTTGACAAATATAATTTGGAAGCAAGATGTTTTCAGTTAGTTTGGGGATTATCTCATTTTACTTTCCCTTTGCCCCAAACCATTCAGGTGTCGGAGCTGCTCGGTCTGGAAACCTCACGTTCATGGTGGGAGGAGTCGAAGAGGAATTTGCTGCTGCCAAGGAGTTGCTGAGCTGCATGGGCTCCAATGTGGTGTACTGTGGTGCTGTTGGGACTGGACAGGTAACATGTTCATTCATATTAACGGCCCTGGCTTGTGGTGTATAGTTAGCTAATGTTCATTTCTTACTCCTGACCATATTGTTATTCCTACTTACTCTTTTCAATATGTGTCTGTTTTGTTGGCCCAAGTATTCTTAAATTAATTTGAAATAAATTAGTTTTCCTTCCTTCATGTTGGAATTAAGCAGACATTAGTCAACTTTTTTTTTTTTTAATAAAAAATGATACCAAGTTCCATCCTTCAGATTTTGGCATATCATCCCAGTGAGCCCCGAAATCATCCTTTAAAGCTGTTTCTGTTTGTAGTGCTCATGTTATCTGAGTTGTTGTTATCCTCCTCCTAATTTTCTAATTATATGCTATAACTCTATTTGCAGTATAGTCAGGTAGATATAATCTAGGCATTTTAATCTGTTTCTTGAAAACCAAATAGTTTTCATTTAGAAATATGTTATATCAACTTTCTATTCAGACAGAGGTGAATGGAAATTCAGAACTCTGAAATTAAGCTGCTCATCTCCCTCTCGTCCAAGACACACACACTCACACTCCCTCCTCTTAATGTTCCGTCCTGGTCTCTGCTCCCCTCTAGACTATGGTATTACCTTAGATATGTCAGTTGTCTCCATGCCCTTGTCTAGTCAGTCTCCAACTTCTATTGATTTTTGCTCAATGGCTCTCATTGTTGACCATCTTGTCCATTCCAAACCAGATATCTCCTGATGCAATCTTTCTCACATTGACACACCTCGTTTATTGCTCCAGGTTCACCACTCTGCCCAACACTGGAAGCAAAACTAACTCCACCAAGATGCTTGTATCATTATAGTTCTTCCCCATTCTGAAACTTTGAATAACCCCTATTTCTTATCATGTCAAATGAATTTTAACCTTCCATCCTTTCTTAGCTTTCATAGCTCTTCCCAGTCTTAGTCATCAAATTTCTCACCATTCTTTAAAACTTAGGCACATGCGTATTTACTGTGTCTTACATATTTACCTTTCTCCTTGCTCTCTCCTTTCTCTTGCAAGATTAAATTCTGCCTGGCCTTCGAGAAGTGGTTTCAGGTTCCACTTCCTCTTTGCTCTTATCTCAGTGATCTTATTTCTTTGAACAGCTATTGTCTCTATCTTGTAGCCTCTACCGTACAATTTCCCACTTGTTTTCATTGATTTGTTCATTGCCTTCTCATTCAGTGTCATTCCCATTTTCCTATTTAGAATGTCAGCCCCTTCCTTCTAAGAGCAGGCATGTCACATAGATCAGTATTCCCTCTCATGCTGAGCCCACAGGAGGAGCTTGGTGGGTTCTTACCTAGTGGGAGAGATACCACGGCCCCAGCCCCTGCTCTGGGATAGCGTTAGGCTCAGAGAGAAGCACGCAGCACTGTGTTCCTTTCCCAGTGGAGGGAAGCCACTGTTGACTTTGACTGTTCTTATTGTTAGAAAGAAGTATATGGAATTGAGTGGAGAAAAACTTCCTGTGAGTAATAACTTGAACATAAAGGAGTTTACTATGTACTCCATTTCTTTTCAGGCTGCAAAGATCTGCAACAACATGCTGTTAGCTATTAGTATGATTGGAACCGCAGAAGCTATGAATCTTGGGATCAGGTTTGTTGAATAGTGCATTTTCACATGCTAACAATTTTTATGAGCTTTCCTCTTTGATTTTTCTGATGTTGAAAAAAAAATGTTCATGAGATAAATGAGTTGATCCAGGAACACTTTGAAAGTACTTCATTATTGAACTTTAATAGACTTTGCTTATTTGACAACCAATAGGACCCTGGAGAGATGAATATTTTTGCCACCGCCATAAGCTGCATTGTGCTGTATATTTGAAGTCACATTATCCTTTTTATGTGGAAGCTCCATTTCTCCTGTTATGTTGAAATGCAAGAAACACTTTTACTATAAAATTTAAACATGTTTTGGCAGTGTGGGATAAATTTATATAAAACATAGCATTAATGTGTAGTGAATTCAAGTGTTATGCTACCCCATGACTGGTTTTATGTATCTATTTTAAATATAGCTCCCAAAACCTACTCTATAAGGGCTTGTATCGATAGTTACTTATTCCCTGATCAACTGGATGCATACATCTTTCATTTTAACTTGTCATTGGTTTTGTCACTTTACATTAAGGGTATATCTTTCCATTAAAATAAAATGGCTTTCATACTTTGCTTAAAGTGATTCAGGAATTCTGTTTTTCCTACAATGATGATCTTCCCTTAGAATACTTAAGGTTAATGTCTTAGTTTGAGCCTGTAAATTTTTGGAGGTTAGGAATGCTACATTTGATTAATAACTTAATTAATTTTTAATATTTTTATTTAATGAATTTAGTAAATATATATTTCTTACTTTAGAAAATGCTTGAAGAGCAGTATGCTTTATTTGGATGTTTTTTTCACACTTTCCAAAACTACATTCCAAACATATAACAGATCAGAGTGGTGCTTCGTATCACAGCTTTTGATAAAAGCAATATAAAGAGCCTAAGTACTTGAGGTATTTTTTAAAACATAGTAATGGATTCACATTTCCTCTTAATTACCATATCAAGATGCTGTTGTTTTATTGAATTGCCCTTGTCTCAGATGTTAAACTATCTTGACCTATTAAGTTGTCATGTTGTAATTGAGATAAAAGAGGAATTTGCTTTGCATCAGTGCTAATTGGTTTATCAATATCCTGTACCATTTACATTTTAAAATTGAGTGTCTGTAAGATGGTAAACTTAGCATATCTGTACAAATCTTTAATAAAACTGATAGTGTGTATAGGAAGTTATTCATTGTTATTTCTGTATTGTAGTTGGTTTTAGGCTATGGGTCACTTACCATAATTGAAAAACTAGTTACTAGTAAGTTGTTTACATGTCTAGACTAATTTCATGGAGCAAGGAAATATAAATTTCTGGCACCAAAATTGCATACAAAATTAATTGGTGTTGACAGTAAGATTAGAGCATTAGTATGTATGTGCATCTCTAGAGTTTTATCTTCATTTTTTTCTGGATATAAATGAAAACACAGTAAAAAGTAAAAGCCTGGATGAATCTAACTTATACTATACTGAAATTTTTCTCTTTTCTGTGCCTGTTATTTAACATTCTGCTTCGTACCTTGAGCATTACTGAGTCAGGATGTTCCTTAGGCAAAGTGATGTAGCCTCGGCATTTCTCAAATACTTTTCCCAGCAAAATTTTTATTAGATAATTATTAGATGATTATTTGCTGTTCTCAAATGAAGTTTCTGTATGGTAAGTGCTGTGGAGGTCCAACTCCAAATACCAGCCTATAAAGAATAGTATGGCCCTGGCCAGTGTGGCTCAGTTTATTGGAGCATCTTCCGGTACACCAGGTTGCAGATTTGATCCTTGGTTGCGGCATGTACAGGAGACAACCAATTGATGTTTCTCTCTCTCTCAAAAAAAATAAGAGTATGAAAATGGAATGAAATACATGCAATGAAATGTGTACACTAGCTACTAGAGTGGTTTATCAAATAAAAAATGAAAAGTGATAAAATTACAAATAGAAATATTAAAAGCAGAAGCAATGAATAAAATTTCCCTTATCATTGGCCTTGATCCACAATGTCAAAAATAATACTTAGAAATATGAACTTTTAAATATTTTTTTCAAAACTCTAGACATTACTGTTCCTGATATATTTGTGTGTGTGTGTGTGTGTGTGTGTGTGTGTGTGTGTGTGTGTGAGAACACAAAGAACTCGTTAGTTTTACCTGTTACAATGAGCTATGTTTCTGGTGCTTCCGATTGTATTAATGAATTGCTTATTTTCATAACATTAGGATTTTATCAATCTATCTTACAAAGATTCTCAGTGATTTGAAAGTCCTAAAAATGATTGCTTCTGCTGTTGTCTTTTCTTTATGGTTTACAGACATGGTTTAAAATGACAGGATTGTTCTCTAATAGAGTACAGAGAGCAGCCACAATTTATTGAGCTTTGCAAGGTGAAAGAGAAAATTGGCATCAGTGAGCATAAATTCCCAAGTAGTAAATTCCCACAAAGTAGTACAGCATCAAAGTGGTTCTGCCACATTTATATTCCGTTCACTCCAAAGGGAACATTTTTAGAGCATTAATGTCAACATTTACAAATTGAGCCACCTATTCCTGTGAAGTGATCATTTCTGATTAATTTTGTTCTCATAAGTCAGTGTTTTTCCTGAACACAGTTTCCTTTAAGGAAAAAAAAAAAAAAAAAAGGAAGAATAAAATCTTACAGTTAAAAACTCTTATTGACTCTATGATCTTTTACAGTGAGTCTTTATGGATGTTAGTAAAAGTTTAAAATGCTATAAAAAAGTAATCTATAAAAAATATTGGTATACAAATGTATTTTGGGTTCTTTTTTACTAGACCTTTCTCCCTTCTGATTGGGTTCTGGTCGGGATGCAGTTTTATGGCCCTTGCAGTACCCTGCTTGCACTAGAGAGCTTTTGTCTCTGTGCACCACATAGAACAGCGTTGATAGTTGAGTTGTGTTGTTTTTATATTTGCTCCACCGGGAATTTTTATTAATATTATTATTTTCAGTAGTGGTGGTAGAAGTTGTTTGCATTACCAACCGGGGCCCAGGCCCCTCCAGCAACAACCATATTGTCTTCTTCCGCCAAAAGCCTAACAGTGAACTTCTGGAAGGCTGTTCAAGATGAAAACTTGCCCAGAAGAATAATTTTAGTTTCTGGACTCCTACCCTTAGAAGATGTTGCCTGTTTTGTGTTGATATTTTTGTGATGACTGAAGCCTTACGTGTATACCCTCGTAGATTTAGCAAATGGCAAAAGTTTTGGAGTAAAAGTTTGACCTAATTTCTTAATAAGCTGGTAAAATGCCATTAGATTGGCTGGTTGGCTATCAAGTTCACTACCCAGGTGGCCCAGTGAGACGCAGAGGATGAGTCTTTGAGAGTTTGGATGTCTGTTGATGTCTGCATCCTGGCTCTGCCATCGACTTAAGCTTTCCTTATCTATAAAATGACAAAAATAATAGTATCTTTACATAGGGTTGTAGTGAAGAGTAAATGAGTTAATCCATGTAAATCTTTCAAAACAGATTTTGGCATATAATAGCTGCTCAGTACATGATGGTGATTGATGTGATGGTGGTAGTGGTTAGTATTTGAATTGAATATACTTGAAAGCCTTTTCTTCATAACACTTCTCACTAGATGGCATTTTATATACATAAGACATACATATGTATACTAGAGGCCTGGTGCATGAAATTCATGCACTCGGTGGGGTGGGGGAGGGGGTCGCCTCAGCCAGTCCTGCACCCTCTCACAATCCAGGAGCCCTCAGGGGATGTCCAACTGATGGCTTAGGGGACCACGGCTCAGCTGGAAGTCGGACATCCTTAGCGTTGCTATGGAGGCGGGAGAGGCTCCCACCACCGCCACTGTGCTTGCCAGCTGTGGGCCCGGCTTCTGGCTGAGCCGAACTCCCCCTGTGGGAGCAACCTGACCACCACGGGGCAGCTCCTGTGTTGAGCATCTGCCCCCTGGTACTCAGTGCACATCACATCATAGTGACCAGTTGTTCCATCGTTTGGTCGATTTGCATATTACTCTTTTATTATATAAGATGTGTGTGTGTGTGTGTGTTATATATGTTTGTCTGTCTGTGTGTCTTCCCAACTTGAATACAAGTTTCATGAAGGGGAATGGCTTTGTCTGCTCACTGCCATATCTTAAGAACGTACTTAACACATAGTAGACCCTCAATGAAGATTTGTCAAGGAGATGATAAGAGGAAAGAGGGAGAGAGGAAGAAAGGGAGGGAGGGAGGGTCACAGGCAGACAGACACTTCTCCTGCCTCAGGTCAAAGGTGTCTGGGTGTGTGTCTTACCTGGCCCGCTCCTTGGCTCCAGGTACAGCACCTGCGCATGGAAGATCTGTGTGAGCATTTGAGAGTCACTGAATGGCTGACTAAGACTGACATGAGCTTAGATGTTCCACTTCTAGAGCTGTTGACTTTAGTGAAATCATTGGCTTTGTTCTTACATAAAACCAGACAGTGTAGATAGATACAGAGACTATAAAGTGAACAAACTTACTTGGCCCTTAAAAGCCTTGGTTACAGTGAAGTTAAACATTTGGATTCTCTAATTTTTTTTTTTTTTTACAATTTATGCATTTTTACTTCTATCAATAGTTCATTTAAAATTCTTGTGTTGTAACGGTGAGTAGATTTGACACAGTGACGTTTATATGAGTTGCATTATATATGCGGTCAGAGCAATGAATTCATTCTGTTTATATCAGAGAATATTCCAGCAACTGCAACGCCACATGCATGCCCGCGTGCACTCACGAACCACATCCAGTGGCAAGTTATTATGAGGACTGACAGACTGTCATCCTCTTGACGGCTTGAGCTGTATATCTCCCGAACAGCAGTGGGGCTCTTATGCAGAGAGTATCATATGTTCCCAGCCAATTTACAGGGAAACAGCAATAACATTTTATCATGGTTGAGAGCCCAGTAGCTGCTTCCTATTAAACTTGCCCTTTCAGATACCTGTCTTGGATTAATTTGTTGATTTCAGATGGAAACTCAGTCTTCTCCAGTGAAGCATGACGTGCTAGGATAGACTCTGAATGACAATTACTGTGTATTCGAGCTGGTTTCAGTGGAAGACAGAGGACTCCAGCAACTGATTTTAATATCGTGTCTAATTTTAACTGTCAGTTATATATGTGCCAGTGAAAAAACCTCCAGAAAGATGAAATGCAAAACACTTCTAACTTGCTCTTTTTAATGCTGGGCAGGGGCGGCGGGGGGGGGGGGTGATGTTGGAGGAAAAGCGGAGAGGGAGTCGCCATCTCCTGAAGGGGATCAGCGTGGTGGGAGGCAGCTGATGGAGAAGTGAGCACGCAACCACCGCCACCTCGTTTCTGCATGCCCCTCAGGGTGCTCCTAAGCGGTAATGTGTTCACTCCATAAATGAGTGCCAGTGTTTTCCCGGAACATTCAAGAAAAATGAAACTTAGGGATTTACAAAGGATAATAAGCGTTGCTCACCATTTAGGTGAGGCTTACAGACAAGGCATGGATTTCTTTAGCAGTTCGTGCAGTGGTGAGGTACTGTCACATATAACCTGGCGAGTTGTAAAGAGGGGAGCGACTCTGTTGCTTTAAATGTGGTAAAAGATTTTAAAAGAATCTAAATTAGGAAACCCCTAAGTTATATTCTGAAGGGAAAGGAAAAGCGATGTTGTGGGGTCTTTAAAATATTTCTGCCCATGGAACGCATTAGACGTTGTGCCTAGAGAACGTCGTGGCAGTTGCAGCAAATTAACTTGTTAATTTGTGAGTTTACTTTTCACAGTTCTTCCCTAAGCACGTTGGCGTCTTCTTTTCCAAAGTCACCCGCTGCAACGGTGTATTGAGAGCCTAATTTTATTTGAAAGGGGAAAGAAAGCATTGGTAGCAAACTATACACGTAACAAACTTTGATATTTATAAAAGAATGAATGAACCAAAACCGGTTTGGCTCAATGGATAGAGCATCGGACTGTGGACTGAAAGGTCCCAGATTCGATTCCGGTCAAGGACATGTACCTTGGTTGCAGGCACATCCCCAGTAGGGGGTGTGCAAGAGGCAGCTGATCGATGATTCTCTCTCATCGATGTTTCTAACTCTCTATCCCTCTCTCTTCCTCTCTGTAAAAAAAATCAATAAAATATATTAAAAAAAAGAATGAATGAATGAAACTTGTTTCTTCCCAACAGTCTACAGTGGGACAGAATGTGTGATAGCCAATTTCGATTGGGTCTTTTATATCTTTTATAATCCTTAGGAAAAACCTCTCATTATAACAGGACCCACTATATGAATTCATATAGATGGTATGTCATGTAATAATATGTAACAGTTTTATTACATGACAAGTCCATATACATCTTGGCTATTAGCCCAAGCCCCCTGTACTAACACTGGCAAATGTTCAAATGTTTACTGGTCATGATATTCAGCTTTGGAAGTAAGCATGTATATGTATGTATTTTATATATATATATACACACACATATATATAGCAGACATATATTTTGAACACACTAAATAAACAAGAACTTAAACATGCCAAAATGCACAGCTTGATTAACATTTATATGTGTCTCTTTCCAGTCTTTTTTAATTTTATTTTATTATTGAAGAGATTGGTTTTAAGAAAAAGCAGCAGGTTTTATTTGAAACTTGATTTAGTGATATTTAGCAAAACTGTGCTTCCCAAACTGCACTAAGAGACTTAGGATCAAAGTAATACAGCATTTGATTCTTTTTTTTCCTTTTCTGGGTCCACATTGAACAGTCGTTTATGCCATCAGCCCAGTGATAGAACAAATGATGTTTCCGCTTGGGCAAGCTTTGTTTTATCAGGATCAGTAACCTTATCAGCAGTTGACCCAGAACTATAATGCATGTCTTCGAATAGATAGCATATGTCACAATTCGGTGCAGACTTGCTTCATAAGCAGGATTGTCTGAAGAAGATTTAATAAACAAGGAAAAGTCTGCAGGAAGAAAGGTCTTCTTTGATAATGACAACTTCTCTTTAAGCTCACTTACTGCCTGTGGCTCAGCTCTTGCAAGTATACTCAGAAAAGCTAAAAGAATAAACAGACATGAAAATGCACACAGACTTGCATGATGCATAGTTTCTCTGTCAGTATTTCTTTCTGAAATATATCATTTGTGAATAAAGAATGTAAAACTTAGGTGATCGTTTTAGGTTCTTATGTGACACGTCCGAAAGAGAAAGAGACATTTCTTTTTCCATAGAAACCCACGTGTGATAAACCAACAACACTTCTTCTCTGCCACTGTGTTATTTCTTAGTAGAATAGTGCTGAAGGTTTTCTCTCATTGAGCATGGTTTGATCACTAGAGAATTCTTCACTCTCACCCATCTGCTTTGATTTTTGAAGACATAAAACAAAGGGAGAGAGAAGACGGAGCATCCTCCTAGGTAAAATAAGCACACATGACGTGTACACTTTGACACTTAACACTTCTTTTCTTTGACCTTTGACAGGTTAGGGCTTGACCCAAAACTGTTGGCTAAAATCCTAAATATGAGCTCAGGACGGTGTTGGTCAAGTGACACGTACAATCCTGTACCTGGGGTGATGGTCGGCGTTCCCTCGGCTAATAACTACCAGGGTGGATTCGGAACAACACTCATGGCTAAGGTATGGCAAACACAGAGGCTTTCCAAGAGAGGGGAAATGTGTGATGCTCTAATTCTCCCTCCCTTGCTCCCTTCCTCTTTCCCTCCCTCTCTCCCTCCCTCCCTGTCTTAGGTTTGCACATCCTCCGCTCGGGCTCTTACAGTTGTGCTGTGGGGCAGTCGCTGGAAACAGAAAGTAGCCCCCTAGGTGCCTGTTCATCAGCTCTGCAGGGGGGTTTCAGGGCACATGGGAGAATGAGTCACACTTACGCCGTTTCCTTTCTGTCTCTGTGTGAACTGGGTTGTGACCTGCTAGCTTATCTGGTTCCTAAAATTCTGCTAAGGGCTCCCACAGAGGCAGCAGCTAACAGGTCAGGTGTCGGCGAGAGAAGCTTCTAATCAAAGGGGATGATTCGGGCCGCCCCATTCTTCTGCAGGACTGGCTCTGTTCGGGAGCTCTTCTCCGGAGCTGTCCTCTCCTCAGCTGGACACCTTTTCTTGAGTCATTTTCTCCAGTGTCCCTGCCCAGAAGGAATCTGCCACTTTGATTTTGAAGATCCTTCCTTTAAAACGACTTTCTTGATAATAAGAGATATAGCTCTTTCAACTGCTAGCATAAGACAGCATAGTATGAAACACATAGATACTACTGTCTTATTCTCCTTTCTTCTATGAAACGCAGTTGTCATTCCCCTTAAAGGGAAGAGTACTTCTTAATTTTGCTTAGACTGAGAGCACTTAGAGAGGAACTTTTAAAAATCTTTCTTTACCTCAGAGAGCTGTTAGCAAAAACACTCCACAGCCAGTTAGATTTGTGCAGATAAATTGATAGAGATTAAAGAAATCCCTCTCATGCTGCAATGATGAAAGCCATAGCAGCTTGTTGGGCAGATCGGGGTTTTACTTACTAAGAGATGTTTTACTTAACTGCCATTAAGTCTTGTGCTAGGGAATATGATGCTAGCAGGTCATTGAAGTGAGGCTTGTACATTTATTTCTAGGGCTTAACTCATAAGATTCTAACACAGTGTATGTATTTACTCAGGACATAGTCAGTACAAAAACTAGATCTTCCTTCGGAACTCCAGAGCCTAGAAGCTGGTTTCTGATGGGCACTAGGCAGCAGCTTATGGAAAATCACGATGACTCTTGGTACTCCCCAATGTGTCTGTTTCCTTGTAAAATATATGTTGGTCTTCCATTAATTTATTGAAGCCGTTAGCAATTGTTTTATATTTTTCCTAAATCACCCACTGAGCTTGGGTTTGTAAATATTTTATTTGATGAGTGAAGTGGGATATTCATTTGTTTTAAATTCTATGCAGGAAGCTTCAAAGGATGCCTTCTTTTTCTAACACTCAGGGTTACGGACTGAAAGGCCACCTACCTCTTCCTTTTAAGGATGTTCATGCTTTAAGGGCGCAGCCACCAAAGCATTTGCGTTTCCCTTTTTGGGTTTTATGAGATAATAATTTACTTGCTCCTTTGAAAGACTCTCATTAGAATTTTTTTCTCAATAACGTTAACGTTGTCTTCTCAATATGTTGTTTTTGCCGAGTTCTTATATTCTAGTTTATTACTAGGTTAAAAATTAAGTGCCATCTTCCTGTAGAATTTTCTCTTCATTTAAAAATAAAAGATCTTACAGGTGTGCTGCTCAATGGTGTTGACAAGAGGCTGGCCTGCCTGTCAGCACATGAGCACTCCCACGCTTGTTAAGTGTGTGAGTGATCATTCAACTTGCTATTTAGTGGAAGCTATAGATCATGGTTCTCAACCTGTGGAGAGCCTAAGACCATCGGAAAACACAGATATTTACATTACAATTCATGACAGAAGCAAAATTACAGTTATGAAGTAGCAACGAAAATAATTTTATGGTTGAGGGTCACCACAACATGAGGAACTGTATTAAAGAGTAGTGGCATTAGAAAGGTTGAGAACCACTGCTATAAAAGAATTTAAGGTTAAGTAGATTTTTCAGATCTACCTCTTTACAAGTGAAGATTAGGCAAATAAACACAAAATAATGCTTGTACCTGTGATATCATACATATTTAAGAAGCTAGAGGTTTCATTCATTCTTTAACATTTGCTTTTTTCTTTGAGTCATTTTCTCTCTTGAGTGGATGGTACAGTGATTGCTCAAGTACGTTTTGCAAAGAGTAGAACTAGTTCTCATCTTCTTGCCTTTCCCCTCGTTGCTCGTTGACTTGCCCTTGGTGGGGAAGTGAGCATGGTAATGGTAAGGAGAAAATCAAGTTGGTTTTGCCACTTGTTTTGCAGCTCTAATGAAATCACAAGTAAATGAAATAAGGGGAATATTGTTTCAATTATCCACACCTGTCTTGTCTGCCATGTACTCTAGATATTTCAAATTTGGACAAGATTCCATTCTTATGGTAGTAGATAGTCATTAGGTACAGTTTAACTATAGAAGATTTGTGATGTTAACTTTGTTTTCTAACAGCCATATGTGTTCTGAAACTTTCAGAGTGCAGGATGAGGCCTGTGAGATGCTGAAGGGCCGTTGTGAAGATGGTTGTCCCATTGCACTTCAAGTGCAGACATTAAAGCTTCCGTGCTCCATCTCTGCCGTCCGGCCCCGTGCCCTCCCGTCCCCTTGGCTTGCTCTAATTCAGCCTCATTGGCTTCATGTTATTTCTATACTATGCACACCATGTCCCACTGCAGGACCTTGACCTTGCTATTCCAAATGCCTGAAACTCTTCCCCCAGCTCTCCAGAGCACTCACTACCTCCCTAACATCCAGGTCTTAGGTCCAGTGTCTTGCCTCAGGGAGGTCTTCCCTAAACATTTCCTCTATCAGAACTCCCTTCCCCCACCCCCCTTTGCTGTCCATCACTTTCTAAACCCTCACCATGCTTTCTTTTTCCTCACAGCACTTGTTGCCTGGAATCTTAGGGTTTGTTTTGGAGTCTGTCTCCCCCCGGACAGTCAGATAGAGCAGTGACTGGGTATCACCAGCACTTAGAACACTGCCCAGCACATTGTGGCTGCTAAATATTAGTTGAATAAGAGATTGAATGGATATCCAATAATTCCACAATGGGGTTTGGCTTAGGCATACAGGCTTCTGCAGATCCTGAAAAAACATTTGCCTGTGTGATCTCACCCTTGTGCAAAGTCACACACACAGGTCTGGTGGAAGGCGGAGGAGTGGGGCAGGGCGGGGCGGGGGCTGTGTGTGTGGGGGGCGGGAAGAGAAGGCAAAGTTTCTGGCTGGAGCAGTTTTGCAGCAGTTTATAAGCGAAAGCACTTTTAAAATGTACATATACATGTAGTTTACCATAGTACTTACGGTAAACTTTTTCTTCTTTGAAACTAAAGCCTTGGGGAGCCACAGTTCAAAATGAGCCTTCCTCCCCATCTCAGCGTGTCTCTCCTGCCCTTGTTTGGTTTAGGATCTGGGATTGGCACAGGACTCCGCCACTAACACAAAGAGCCCGATTCTCCTGGGCAGCCAGGCCCATCAGATCTATAGGATGATGTGTGCAAAGGGCTACTCGAAGAAGGACTTCTCGTCCGTGTTCCAGTTCCTGCGAGAGGAGGAGAACCTCTGAGTTGGCACTTTGGCCCTGGACACTCTTGGAAACCAAACTCTGTCTCGGAGCCTCCCCACCGCTCACTCCACAAGTAAACGAGTTTAATCAAAGGTCACCTGTCTGCTTCGGATTGTCTAGGTTATAGTTAAATGGGTTTTGCACCCATTTTTTACTGCTTATTTTTATCTATTTAGCAAACACACATTATCTGAATTTTTTTTCTGCAAGCCCCCAGTAGTCTCTGTTAACTAGCTGATTGACCTTTTTCAAAAGTTTGATCCTTGAGCATATTCAACTAAATCATTGATTACTTCAATCAGGATATTATTTATACCATTTTACAAACAAAATAAAATATTCTCCAACAGGACAAAATTGATCTTAAAGGGGAAAAAAACCAAAACAAAAAAACTCAGTGCACGGAAGGAGTTAGAGAACGGGAGAATACAGTGAGTTACTGCCTGTGTCCCTCAGCAAGCTTGTCCTGTTTACCAGGTGGTGGTGTTCTTGCATTACTGAGGTTATTGAGTTATTTTCTGGGGACTTGATAAAGCAGGAGAACTCCTTGCTATATGTTTTATAATTTGGACTCTGTTACAGTATCTTAGTGTGTTTCTCTTGTAACAATTCCCAATACTCAGAAAACTTGTTTTTATATTTTTCCTTCCTTGTACATTCTTACCACATATTTTTGACTTCAAAAGAATGACATCTTTAGACCTGTTTAAGAGCCAATGATATTTGCTTTAGATAATTATTATAGTATTCTACATAGATCCATATTATTTTGAAATTGAATAAATTTCTATGCTGATAATTCTTTCTTAGAGTTTTTGTGTCTTCCTAGCCATTCAGTGAACAATCAAATGGTCTGAAAAACTGGTGTAACAGAGGAATGGGGAAAGGGTGAGGAAAAAGAGAGGGGAATTGGCCAGTGGCAAGCCAGCACCCTGCTGCTCTACCTGAACCCGTAGTCCCATTGGTTTGAGTGGTTTCTAGGTTGTGGGTGCTATGGAAACCAGCCGCATCAAATGTGATACATAACACAGGGAGCACAGGTGCCACTTCCCCACCTCTGTGCCTAGAAATGTCCGAGGTCATAACCCTAGACACCAGATTAGGCAGAAGGACAACTTCCATCATTGATGATAAAAAATTCTAGGCACTATCGCAAGTGCTGGAGCAATGGTGATGAACATAACTACAAAATCCTGTCCTTGTAAACCATAAATTCTGGTCTCTCACGTGTGTGAGGTGTTGGGAGAGACAAGAAATAAATGTTTAATCCATATGTCAGGTGATAATAAGGACTAATGGAGGAGGGGGGATAAAGGAGGATGGATGGGATTACCAGGGGTACCTTATTAGGGTGGTAAAGGAGATGTTCTTTGATGAGGTGACATTTGAGCAGAGAAGGAAGTGAGGGAGCACACCTGCAGGATGTGAGGAAAGAACATTGTAAGTGCGGAAACAGAAAGTGCACAGGCCCGAGGCAGGATAACACTAGCTACGAGGAATAGCCAGGAGGCTGTAAGTGAAGTGTCATGAAAAAGGGGGTGCAGATGCTGACATACTGCCACTTCCAATTTACTGGCTTAAAATAACGTCGATTCTTTTTCAAGGTTCTCCAGGTTGGCTGTGTTCCTCTACTGGACTGGGCCACCTCCTCTGGAATTGGAGGGTCTAGCTCGGCCTCACTCCGCTAGGGCTTCCCCGAGTTTGTTCATGTGGTGGTGCTCCCAGCAACAAACCAGCACTTTTCAAGCTCCTGCTCACCTCGTGGCTGTACTACCCCAAGGCTCCCAGCCAAGCCCAGAGTTCGCCCGGGAGGGAACTGTGGAGTTCTGGGCATGGGGAGGGGCATCACATCATTTTGTAAACACCCTGTCATAGCCAGCCAGGGAGGGTCTTGTAGAGAGAGTTGATGTGCTCTGACTTACTTTTTAAAGGGATTGCGTGGCTGCTGGATGGAGAATGGATTGTGGGGACAAGGTGGAAGCAAGGAGCCCAGTTAGGAGGTGATTGTAATAATCCAGTTAAGAAATGGGACCAGAATGTTCATGATGGAGGAGGCAGGAAGACAGATTGTGAACATAAAAGAGCCATTAATGGCCCAGCCAGCATGGCTCAGTGGTTGAGCACTGACCCATGAACCAGGAGGTCACAGTTTGACGCCTGGTCAGGACACACGCCTGAGTTGCAGGCTTGATACTGGCCCTGCCCAGCCTGGGGGCCGGCAGCCTGCAGAGGTGAGTCAGGTGTTGCCCATTTTCATGAGTTTCACCTGCTCACCCCGGAAATGGTTCTCCAGGAAGTCACAGAAATGATGGTCTGCGCAGGTAGAACCCCAGGCCTGCAGCTCCAAGAGGGCCTGGTTCAGGTTCCTCTCCGAGGCCAGGGCGGCCTCCATGGTGTCCTGAGTTTGGCCCACTCGTCCTGGGGAGGCTTCAGCACATCCTGGAAGAGAATGCCGCCACCGGGCTTGATTTGCAACTTTGAGAGATGCTCAGCGCCCCTACAATTCTCCGCTAACTCGCAGAAGTGGCCCACACCCTCAAGAGCCACATCGTTGCAATTGGAATAGAAGCCCAGAGAGAGGTAGGTGTGGGAGGCCTGCAGATGCAGGTTGGCCAGGTGGTTGACTTCACCTCAGTGGGATAATTCTGGCGAATTTGGGAGCTCATGGTTGTTTGGCAATAAGGAGTTAAGGTAGAAAATAAACGATGTGTTGGCTGGTCCCAGAGGTGGTTCTGAAGGTGGTGACTGGATAAGACCCAGGAGGGTGGCTAGAGGCTGGAAGAAGGGGCATACCTGAGTCTGTTCTGTTCAAACACTGTTGAAGCAAGAGACAGATCCGGGACCGCGGAGGGCATAGCTGGATTGCACACTTTGAAATGGTGAGTTTTGTGGTATGTGAATTATATCTCTGAAAAATAAGAGGGGGAAATAATGAGATAAGATCTTCCTCTCTTGGTGAGTGCTTCTCAGCTGGGACAGTTTTGCCCCCAGGGGACATAGGACAAACTCTCTGGACAGTTTGGTTGTTACACTGGGGGTAGGGGATGCTATTGGCATAGTGCGGGTAGAGGCCAAGGGTGCTGCTGAGCATCTTACAATGCACAGGACAGCCCCCAGGAGAATTATCGGCCCCAGGTCTAGGATGCAGCTTGGTAAACCTTGTCCAGGTGTGGGTTCCACCGATACCTCTCACTTGGCATATCAAAACCTAAGCTCCCCATCCTCCCCAGCAGACCTGCTTCTCCTCCTGGTCCCTGTCCCCTCCAGGTTCCCAGAACCCTCCCTGACTCCTCTTCCATCCGTTCTCCATAGCAAATTCTAAATCTCTAGCACCTTCCTTAGGCCCTCATCGTTCCTTGTCTAAGGTAAGTCAGTCTCTGCAGTTGCTTCTCTTTTATTTCTGTGTGTTTCACTGAGATATAATTTACAGACAATAAAATGTGCTCGTGTGTAATGTACAACCCGGTGACTTTCAGTAAATTTACAGGGCTGCTCCGTCATCACCACAATCCAATCTGAGAGCACTGCCCTTGCCTCCCTTCACTCTGGAAAGTCCCTAGTGCCCATTCACACTCCCCGTTCTCTCCCTCTCCCCCACCTGGCAGCTGTGGGCACCCACTCTATAGAGTCCCAGCTGCTACTTAGCCACTGATTTGGCTCCTCCTCAATTCAGCCTTCACAGCAGTGTGAGGTCCTTCTAAGCCCAAAATCTAAACCCAGTCATTCCCCTGCATAAAACCGAGGCCTTGGATACAGTTGGAACTCCTCCATGTGCTGTTCAGGGCCTTTGTGGTCTGCTCCCACTTTACTTCACCGGCACTGGTCATTTCCCAGGCTTGCCCTGCTTCTCACACCTCAGTCCCTCTGCGCATGCCGCTTTCCCCACCTGAAATGGCCTTCTCCTCTCCTGGCTGACCAGCTCAGGCCCCGTGTTCTCTATACGGCCTTCCTCAGGCTATAGCTCTTGGTTGTGTCTTGTGTGTCATGGACGTTGTGTCATGGGACATACCCTATTACATTGTATTTGCTAGTCTGTCAGTCTGTCTTCCACACCAGTGAGCTCAGACAGCACCTGGCATTGAGGGGTTGGAAGCTAGGACATTGAGTTTGTGGTAGGTGGCCTGAACTTGTTTCTTAAAGATTCTTCCTTGGCAGACCCAGTTTTTTACTCTGAGTTATGGTACACAGCTGCCCAAGAAGTCTGGCAGGAAGTGGGTCTTTTACAAAGTTTTCTTAGTCAGAGGGTTAGCTTATGCTGTTTGCCTGAAGAAACTCGTGGGGAAAAATAGGCACTTTTGGTAGTAAGCTTTTGTCTCATTATTTATGTACTTTAAACTTCACCTTGCATGCAAATAAGCACACACAAATTTCCCTTAACCGGGCACAGCACTTCCAAATGCAGTCTTTTATACCCTGCAACATAGACCTTGAGGTGTAAGGTGAATCTCATAAAAACATAGGTTTGCTTTCTTTGAGGGATTCTGTGAAGTTAGGTGTTGAGAGATTCTCCTACCGTCCTATTGATCTGACATCATGATGGTGGTGCTTATGCGCAGCCACAGCTGAGCCCAAATGGCCTCCTCTTCAGCCATCTTTCTCATTGCATGGGTTTTGATCTTGACTTTTATGCTAAGCAATCAGAAATGTGTGTGATCTGTCCACTTCCTGTGGGGCGTGGGGGAGAAAGGCAGATCTGAGCAGTGTTACCCGTGTGCATAAATTCTACCCAGGAGCCCGCTGCTCAGGAAAACAGCTCCATTACTGCCATCCTGGGCCCCAGTAACTGTACCCCGGAGCATTCGCAGATGGCCAGCCAATAGGGAGTCGGCTGCCCGAGTGGGGTTTTTAACCATCTTTCAGCTCAATTGAAGAGGGAGCTTAAGGACATCATGGGGATTTGTAATGTTCCACGCAAGGTGTCAGACCCATAAGCTAGCGTGTCCATCTCCGCGATGCGCACAGGGAAGCATCTCTCATTGGTGACAGAGAGGTTGCAGATG